AATATATTTGACTGAATTTAATCATTAATCATCCAAAGAGCTGAAGGGGAGAACAACCCTACTGGAATAGTTTGGAACTAACCCTGTTGTGTTTATATCTTAATATACGCATAAAATAATGTTGAAAGATATAAATGACACCATCGAGGTGTATTAGGATTTTCATAAAACCCGTATGACTGTAAAAATCAAGTGTCAAGTTCTTGAATGTATTATATACATATATGCTGTTATTTCGTGATTTTCTAAATGAAGTTTTATTTTAAATGAGTTTTATCATTTAAATTGTAGCATGTAGAAAGATAGAAAATATATATATTGTATATTCATACATCACTGACATTATTTTACATGGTACATAATAAAACACTGAGGTATTAAACATCTAGTCTTGTACCACACTGAAAGCTTTAGGTAGGCACGGTACTTGTGATCAAATACAGGTTTTGCAGGGGTTTAGGCGTCAGTTTAAGTAAGCATATTTCAATAAAAAATATTTTTTTTAATAAAAAAACGAAAATTCTGATCATCAAACTGACTTCAAAATCCCTTAATGCATGACAGAGTTATAACCCGGGCAAGATTTTCTAACTGCTGACCTTTGACCTCTTCGTGTGACCATGACCTTGAAGTAAGCGGTTTCGGTCTTGCGCATGGAACACTGTCTCAACATGCAACACACTTGTGACTAGTTATTTTAAAATCCTTTGATGCATGAAAGTAATGGTGTGGACCGAATTTTCCAAGACTGATCTGTAAGTGCGACCTTGACCTTAAAGCTAGGTATCAAGCTTTTGCACACGACACATATTTCTGCCAAGCTATTTCAAAACCCCTTGATGCATTACAGAGTTACAAGGGCCGCCAGACATGACATTCGAACAGACGTACTCACGTATGCACGCACATCACATTTGTACAGCGGGTAACACTATATGCCTCCTTCGATGGAAAATATAACCACTCTCATAACAGTGTTTCACAAATCGTGCAAATATTACCGTTATATAATTCTGGATATAATAGATGCCTGGTTGAAGTCACAGAAACAACCACTAACTCCTGTAAACGCGTTGATATAAGATTTTATTTGAGATCACCACAACAATTTTACAGTATGTTAACAACATTCTAATATTGTATCCAGTAACTTTATACCATGTTTACTTCCAGTATTGTTTATCTAAGTACTAGTATACTATTGTCATATTTTGATGTAAAATGGAATTTATTATTGGAATAAACATGTATCTTATGGAAAAAAAGCCAAAAACAACCAATTTAAAAATAGATTAAAAAACCAATTTTTCAACAAAGATACTGGACTTATTTTGATTAAAACACAATACTTTGATTAGAATCTGGGACATACGATAAGTTATCGTATATCCCAGTTAGAATCTATACCAAAATAAAACAGTGTTATCAAATAACTAATACAAAAATGTTAGAGAAAACAACAACAACAAATTCATATCGTCACCTTAGTGCAGTAACGGGTTAATTAATAGAAGTTAACCCCTTCTTGCACTATGGTGACGAATTGTAACCAAGAGTATCAGCAGTTTAAGTCTACAAAAAAGTCAATCCCATAAAGTAATCTCAAAACAATGATAAAACATGTATATAAAAAACGTAGTCACTTTATGATATACTAGTAATCTGTTCATTACACTTTAAGCAAGATGATTTTTTATTTAAATATGCACCATCCAAACATATTGAATAAACAAAAAATAGAGATGAGAGTTTAAGAAAGAAATACTCGAATTTTGGCAAGGTTTACATGAAAAATGTTGGCAAAAAAAAAAACAAGAGGGCCATGATGGCCCTGAGGTCGCTCACCTGTATATAGGCCCCCCCACCCCCGGGCCAATTTTTACTCAAGGGCTTTTATTTGTTTATTTGAACAGACTTGGTAGACACCCATAAGAAGATGTTTCATGCTAAACATCTAAGTTCTAGCTCATTGGGTTTTTTAAAAGAAGATTTTTAAGTTTTTGCTATACACATATAAGGAAAATCAATGACCCCCCCCCCGGGCGGGGCCAGTTTTGACCCCAGGGCTTTTATTTGAACATACTTGATAGACACCCATTAGAACATGTTTCATGCTAAATATCTTAGCTCTAGCTCTTTGAGTTCTTTAAAAGAAGATTTTTTAAGTTTTTACTATATGCATATAGGGAAAATCAATGACCCCCTGGGGCAGGGCCAATTTTGACCCCAGGGCTTTTATTTGAACAAACTTGGTAGACACTCATTAGAAGATGTTTCATGCTAAATATCTTAGCTCTAGCTCTTTGGGTTCTTTAAAAGAAGATTTTATAAGTTTTTACTATATGCATATAGGGAAAATCTATGACCCCCTGGGGCGGGGTCAATTTTGACCCCAGGGCTTTTATTTGAACAAACTTGGTAGACATTCACCAGAAGATGTTTCATGCCAAATATCTAAGCTCTAGCTCTTATGGTTCTTTAAAAGAAGATTTTTTAAGTTTTTACTATATGCATATAGGGAAAATCAATGGCCCCCCGGGGTGGGGCCAATTTTGACCACAGGGCTTTAATTTGAACGAACTTGGTAGACACTCACTAGAAGATGTTTCATGCTTAATATCTTAGCTCTAGCTCTTTGGTTTCTTTAAAAGAAGATTTTTTAAGTTTTTACTATATGCATATAGGGAAAATCAATGACCCCCTGGGGCGGGGCCAATTTTGACCCCAGGGCTTTTATTTGAACAAAACTTGGTAGACATTCACTAGAAGATGTTTCATGCTTAATATCTAAGCTCTAGCTCTTTACGGTTCTTTAAAAGAAGATTTTTTAAGTTTTTACTATATGCATATAGGGAAAATCAATGACCCCCCGGGGCGGGGCCAATTTTGACCCAGGGCTTTTATTTGAACAAACTTGGTAGAACACTCACTAGAAGATGTTTCATGCCAAATATCTTAGCTCTAGCTCTTTTGGTTCTTTAAAAGAAGATTTTTTAAGTTTTTACTATATGCATATAGGGAAAATCAATGACCCCCTGGGGCGGGGCCAATTTTGACCCCAGGGCTTTTATTTGAACAAACTTGGTAAACACTCACTAGAAGATGTTTCATGCCAAATATCTAAGCTCTAGCTCTTAGGGTTGTTTAAAAGAAGATATTTAAAGATTTTTCTTTCGGTTGCCATGGCAACCAGAGATCTGCATGGAATTAAATTCTTTGAACAATTTTTTAAGGTGACCACTAAAGGAACATTCCTGTGAAGTTTGGATGAAATTGGCTCAGTGGTTTATGAGGAGATGTCATGTAAAGCAAAAGTTTACGGACGGACGCCGGACGGACGGCCGGACGCCGGACGAAAAGCGATCACAAAAGCTCACCCTGTCACTTTGTGACAGGTGAGCTAGTAACAAAAAGTAGTCATGGATCAATACAAGAAAATGAAAATCTTTTCTGTGTTAAAAAAGCAAAACATATGTATGGTGGGCTTATTATATATGGCAAAATATATAGAGAAAGCAAAATAAAATGATAAAATAAAGATTAAAGTAAGTAAAATGTAATCAGTATTGCATAAGAATTTGCTTCAACTGTGATTATCATGAAAGGTGCATATTTACCATTTGATGTACATTTATATGATCAAATCATTGTCAATTTCACTTAATATACTTAGAATAGTGTGCACCAATTATCTCATGGCCAGTAAAAAGGATGGTTGGAATGGTTTATATTTTTAGATCACAGTAAATACATATATGATTGAATGGGCCCAGTTTACCTTATACACTAGTATAAACATGTCACATGTCATCAGTACCAACCAAATCTTTTAGTTCAAATTGATACAAAATATTATGAAAATGTCACCATTTTGACTGAATTTTCTATAAATGCAGTTATATTTCATAATTGATAAAATTTAAGTACATGTACTTAGTTTAGTTAAAAGTCTCTCATAAAATGGCAACAAATATAATATGTGTACATAGTATCTGTTCTAAGACATTTCTTGTAACTAGCAGATCTATATAGATCATAATTATCTACTACAAATTTTATTCAAGGACTAATTTCTAAATGTTGATAAAATATATATCATGCTTTAAGCAAATTCTGAGTAATGTTGATGTACTGGGCATGCTCCCATATTCATTAATCATAATATAAACTTGAATAATAATTTGACTAGGTTTATAAATTGGTAATATTTTCAATAAATGCTGTATAAGTTGACAAATGGTCATTAAACTGACATTATATCTATGTTTACAACAAAATGACAACAGGTATTCTACCCTGAATGTATTGTAGCTACCACAATAATAAATTTATGTCATGAACAACACCTTCACCTTATAGTATAACTCATAAATGCATTTATAACAGACCTTCATCAATACTATTGCAGTTATATCCTGCTAAATTACTTTAATGGACTAGTCTGACTTCCATATCTGGTACTGTACATTATTAATTTTAGGGATGAAAATTTGAAGTTGGTCAGCTCCCTATCAGACTGCACAGATTGTACTCCTGGCTCCAGGATAGAGCAGGGTAAAAGTTAATACCACCTGTTCATTAACAATTAAAAATTCTACAATACCTTGAGTAAAATAGTAGAGCATTACTTATTATGACTTTAACAAAATTGATATTGCAGAATTATAAAAAAAAATTCAACATCAAAATGAATAGACCTTTCCTGTTTTTAGCAGTTAACAAATTAAACTCTGTCTTTTCTTTTCATTGCTAGATCAATTGCTCACAAACTGTATTACAAACAAAACCATGTGTTATTTTGTTTAAACCATGTCAATCGATAAACCATGTGTTAACCAAGTGTAATATTTTGATAGCCAGTCAGCCAATTTGAATAGTAATGAAAACACTGGAGAGTTCTAATGGATAGCTAATTGGCAAGTTTTGTAAGAAAACAAAACTGTACACAGTAAAGAGGTCCTTTAAAATTACAATCATTCACAATGAAACAAAAAGGAAAGTTTTGGAATGCATCATGTTCAAACATCAACAGAAAATAAACCAAAGACTTCTTTCAATCTCAAATAGTTATCATTTATAAAGTATAAAAATCTGAACTCAGTGCCATTACTGGCAGTAAATGCTGCATTATTGACTATAGATATATCTGTTAGTTCTAAAAATACACATTTTACAACAATCACAGCCCTGAATGAAGTATATCAAGCTAAGACAAGATCTGTTTTACTGTCTTTAGTTATCAACTGTACAAGACTTCCACTTGCAGGCCTCTCTTCATTCTTTGTCCACTTAGCAAACATTCTGAAAAAAAAGGTTCAAAAAAATAAATAATTATTGTCTATAAAAACACAAAAATGCCCAAAACACCATAAGATACTTGCTGATGAAAATTATGGTAATTAACATACAGTTCTTACATTCTAGGAATGTTCTATATTTTACATAAAGCCCACATTGTTAAGATTATAGGACTATATCCAACTCTTGTTTGTGGATAAATCCCTACACTCTTGCACAGGCACATATAGAAGATGAAGTTCAATACTGAATTTATTGAACAAGTTGAATAAAATTATATTATGCGAGCCTATTGTGAGCAAAAAATTAGCTTATTCATAAAGTTCCATACATACTCCCAAAAAGACTGTTTAAAGTGCAAAAGCATCATTATACATTGTAAGGCTAACATTTATAACGTCTTTACACTTTGTTTGTATAACACAAATGATGTTGCATCAAAATATATGGAAGACCATGCAATACCATTTTACAGTCGCAAAATCAGGGCGGGTGTGTGATAAAGATATATATGACACACCTTTCATAACCCAATTTGTTTTTCTGGTTTTTACTTTGATTTTACCAATCTGTCATATATCTAGATGGATGACTCACCAAACCAGCACTCACAGATCACTAGCCAGCAATTACTAATATTTCTGCAAGTGACCAACTACTAATCTCAATTAATTTCTGAATAAGCTGTGAGAGACAAACGACAATAAGACTCCATTTTCACAATCAATTGTCCCAAAGAAATTTCTCCTCTACCAAGGATGGAACCATCAACTGCTGCATTTCTTATAAGATGCTCTCCCTATTGTACTTAGCAAGCAATCAAAAGTCTAATCAGAAACCATAGCAGTAAATGGCAAAATATTTGAAATAAAAATAAGATAAATTGACAAATGACTGCAAGAACAACTAGAACTACCATATACATTTTCAATTCTTTAGTTTCGTTTTTAAGATATCACACAGAATAAAATGTATTGATAAAATGTTCTGAAAATTGAATTATAAAGTTAGATTAAACATACTCAGCAATAAATTCTAGTGAGGTCCATGTTGTTTGGTCAGCATTTGGCATCCATTTTCTGTTCATTGGTGTATCCAGGGTTACCCTATATTACATAATACAGAAATTCAACATTATAAAACAGAATAACTGAAATTATTTTTGGAATCAGCTAATTTTCCAGTTATTGATGAAATGATATAGACAGTAAGACATGATACAAAGGCTTGAAATTAAATCATTATTCAAATCAATGTTATTTGAATTATTTCATTAAGTTGAATTACTATAATATAATACTAATAACATGAGATTGAACATTTGAATAACATTCATGGGTGTGTAAGCCACAATGTTGATAAGTAAAATCAATGAAGTTATATTCATATGTTGTTGTTGATTTTATTATCCATAAAAAACAACAGATTTCAATGTAGCTTATGCTTGTAGGAGTAATTATCTGAATTCTCTTATTTCTATACAAAAATGTATTTATAAAGAAAGACAATGTTTCAATATAGCTTTAAGTATGTATTATCTAGAAGTCATAACCTGAAACACATAATAACTTGATTCATTGAACTGTTGTTATGAAAATCACTTATAACTATCACTTTTAACTAGGTTGGAAGGAGCATGGAGGTGAAATATTGAGGAGCATGAACGTGAAAACGTTGAGGAACATGGAGGTGAATATGTTGAGGAGCATAGGGGTGAAAATGTTGAGGAGCATGGACTGAAGCATGAATGTGAAAATGTTGAGGAGGCTGGAGATGAAATATCGAGGAGCATGGTGGTGAAAATGTTGAGGAACATGGAGGTGAAAATGTTGAAGAGCATGGAGGTGAAAATGTTGAGGACCATGGATAGGAGCAGGAGTGTGAAAATGTTGAAGAGCATGGCGGTGAAAATGTTGAGGAGCATGGAGGAGTAAATGAATAGAAAAAGAAGATGAGCATTAAGGAATAATGATGATGGAGGAGAAACAGACAAGAAGCATACAAAAACACTTTTAAAATACTTACGGCAATATAGCTACTGCAGTAGAATTATTTGGAAGGCCACTATTTGGTGCTGCTAAACTTTTCACAAGTTGATGAATTGCTGCCTTTGCCATACCATACCCTATCATTCCTGGAAAATAAATTATAACATTTAAAACATTTTACATCAATATTTAACCCCACTGTCCACAAGCAACAGTAACAACACACCTATACTACCAATAATATAGTCAGGTTGAAAAAACATATCTGCCAAGTCCATAACCAGCCATTATTCTGTTAGATACAAACATATCATTTCAACAGTGTCACTCTCAAAATAACAATTCTAAATTCAAAGCCGGCGTTGGGGAACATCATGCAAATTAAGCAGAACAATAATCAAATAGTGTTTTATACAGATAAAGGTGATACAATCATGAAAATCTATTATCTCATAAATATACTGATTTCAAATTAACTGCAGTATCCCAATTCAGTATGTAATCTAAATCATTAATATAATTATTATTTGGGTTATACAGTATTAGTTGGACAATATTACTGCTGATTTCATAATAAGGTTTGGAGTAAAAAATCACATCATTGCTTGCTATTGGCTAAAGTAATCTAAAACTTGGATGATAACAGTAATTACATGTGTTTTTGACACCTCAGTTATTATCACGTTTCACATAAAGTTTAACATAAAGTTAAGTGGATAGAACAATGTTTGGATGCAAAGCATTTGAATGAAATAAATAGTGTCAATATGGTATATAAATGAATCGTCTAGATTAATTTTTTAATTTCAATTTAGTCTTAGCATACATGAAGTATAAGGCTGAATTGTCCCTTTTCTGTCTGAAATAGAGAGCCTTTTTCATAAATTAAATTAAAATTGTCCAAATTGGGACCTGGAATGATATTTTCTCTGCCCAATGAATTTGCCTTTTTAAAAAAAGTGTTGTACAACAATGTAAATACATGTAACTATCTTTGACTGAACTGTACCCGTCTTAGAAGCCTTTTACTTTCTAAATTTAATCACAATAGTTATTTCTTTTTGCAAGTTCCACAAAGACAAGGATGAAGTGAGTTATCTTCCTTCTAATTACCTGCAGTTCCCTCTAGAGCTGGCTGGGCACCTGGCAGTGTGAGTAGTCCCCCCTCTTTAAGGAATTTAGCTGCTAAACTTGCAGCAATTGATGATGACACTACGCTCTGCTTCCACATCATATCTGCATTCTTTATAAAATCTGAAAATAGATAAATTCAGGAATCTGCAGTGTTAAATTTGTCAAGATATAACAAGGAAAGAAATTAAATCAAAATCTTATTTAGAGAGTATCTTCAGTTGTTTATTCTATATAATTCTTTTGAAGTGCTAGGTACACTTCCTACATCAAAACAGGTTAACATAACATCTTTAATTTTTCCAAAGGCTGCCCTCTAAAATTATTAACGTATGAGCCAGGACCTAATTTGAACCAATCACCTGCACATTATTACATTTCAACTTAGAGATGTCAGATACCACTGTTCTGAAATATTCATCAAGTAGATAAATCATATATCAATATCTATTTGATTTAGTTAAAACAAACAAATATATTTACATGTATTACAGCGCAATTAACATGTTCTTGCACACCTGAATTAAAATCTTTCTAAGGTTTGTTTTGAAATTTCCAGCAGTCATTTTGTGTTTAACCTCAGACAACAAAGACTGTTTTCTGAGGTGGCTAAAATACAATAGAGTGCCGCTTCATGACAACCCTGAAAACTTCTTCCTGCACTTAACCAATACTGGTGCCATATGAGGAATATAGATGGCTGGAATCCAAATTCCCATAAGACTAATATTCCCCCATTTCATTCATAGTTTTAGTTAAGTTTAAACATATTTATTTCAGTCTCATTGCAAAAAAAGTTTTTGCAACTTATATTAATCACTTTTGTGTCAGCTTCCTGGAACCAACCAGTACTGGTCTTGATTGTGACCAAAGTAGGGCTTGAACCCATGATCCGAGGGTTGAGAGGCAGACACCTTAACCACTAGGTCACTTCTCCCCTTTAACCATTAGGCCACCTCTCCCCTTCCATTAATAAATACAATACCGAGAGCCTAAAATTACAGTACTTCATACCTTTGTTAGCAGCATTGCCTCCGGCCCATCCCCCAGCTACACAGAGAATAGCATCAACTTTATTTTCTCCAAGTAAAGTTTCAACATTCTGTGTGATACTTTCATGTTGTTCTGTCCAGCTCTCATTGGGCTTCACTATCACATTACCATCAGCTTGCTCATTAGGTACCAGGTCAATAGAGCCAACCCACTGAAATGTATTAATAAATGTCAAAGTAGTGTTGAACAAGCAATTATCATAGTATTGCAAGCAATCCATAAGTCCCCTACCAGTTAGAACCCCAGCAACATTTTGATAGGCCATTGGCCATTCAATTTTACCAGTGGATGAATGACATGAATGAACTTAAATCTTTTGAGTTCTAAGTTTGTCTATATCACAGTAATGTGTTAAGTTTCCCTGCCTAGTAAGGAAATTATGTTTAGACAACCTTGTCATATTATTATGATGTGGGATTTTAAAGTAAATCCTATAAGGAATGAAGAAGTTGGAGTGAAAAATACCAATTTCTCGAAAAAAATGTAAGTTCAAGGGGGAGATAATTCTGGAAATAGTCTTGCTAGAGTATTTAACCTTCTCAAAAATGTTAAGTGATAATAAGAAACATATATATGAAGTTTGAAGTAGATACATTAGGAAATATAGAAGTTATTTAAAAAAGACAACATTTTTTTTCATAAAAATTCTAAGTTCAAGGGAGGTAATAGTGATCATTTTTGTACTAGAGTTGTAAACCATGTCACATATGATGTGGTTGATGGCCAGAAACTTGTATTTAAAGTTTGAAGTAAACACCTTAAGAAATAAAGAACTTATAGTGAAAAAGCTGAAAAATTTAAATCAGAAATCTTGAAATTCAGGCTATTTGTTGCCATAGCAACCAGAATTTTCAACATAGGAAGAAAAGAAAAAGATGTGCATAATCTCCAGACTGCCATCTACCCATATTTCAAGTTTCATAAAAATATTTTCAGTACTTTTTGAGTTATCACTGGATCCAGTTTATGTGTTAAATTTGCCATATTTTCAGACTATTTGTTGCCATAGCAACCAGAATTTTCAACATAGGAAGAAAAAAAAAAGACGTGCATAATCTCCATACTGCCATCTATTCATATATCAAGTTTCATGAAAATATTTTAAGTACTTTTTGTGTTATCGCGGGATCCAGTTTTGTGGACGGACGGACTGACAGACAGACAGACAGACAGATGGAGGGTAAACCTAACGTCCCCTCCGGTTAAACCGGTAGGGGACTAATAAAACTCTTCTCTCAGTCTGTGTCAGTTGAAAATATACAAGTTATAAATTGATGATGTGTCACTACACTGTTGTATGTTGTCTTTTAAGGCAATCCCTTTTCTTTTACAATCATATTAAACACCGAAAAGAATTTTCGAATCACGTGTGTTGGATATACTATAATTTTGAAACATAAATACAAAGAAAAAAAAACGTGGTCAAATTTAAAAAAAAACTAGAACTGCCACTGCCATGGCGTGAATACCCCCGCATACCACTTTGTCAGAATCAACAGTGGCCATTTAAAGCTCAAGGACAACCTCCCTGCCAAATCTGAGGTTACTAAGCCAGTGCATTGCTAAGTTATGTATTCTACATGCTTAAAATGTGAAAATCAATACACTGCGGACAGGCATTCTTAAGCATTTGAGCAGACAAGCTTATTATATTAAAATCCCTGTGACCTTGACTTTTGACATAGTCACCTTAAAATCAAAAGGGGTCATCTACTAGTCATAAATAACCTCAATACTAAATATGAAGAATGTTGACCAAAGCGGACAAGCTTTTTTAGTCAAGGCCCCTGTGACCTTGACCTTTGACCCAGTGACCTCAAAATTAATAGGGATCATCTACTAACCATGATCAATCTAAATACCAATTTTCAAGACTGTGGGTCAAAGGAATCTTAAGTTATTGGGCGGACAAGCTTTTAGAAGTCAAGGCCCCTGTTACCTTGACCTTTGACCCAGTGACGTCAAAATCAATAAGGATCATCTACTAACCATGACCAATCTAAATACCAAATATGAACACTGTAGGTCAAAGGAATCTTAAGTTATTGGGTGGAAAAGCTTTTTGAAGTCAAGGCCCCTGTGACCTTGACCTTTGACCTCAAAATCAATAGGGATCATCTACAAACCATGACCAATCTAAATACCAAATATGAAAACTGTGGGTCAAAGGAATCTTAAGTTATTGGGCGGACAAGCTTTTAGAAGTCAAGGCCCCTGTGACCTTGACCTTTGACCCAGTGACCTCAAAATCAATAGGGATCATCTACTAACCATGACCAATCTAAATACCAAATATGAAGACTGTGGGTCAAAGGAATCTTAAGTTATTGGGCGGACAAGCTTTTAGAAGTCAAGGCCCCTGTGACCTTGACCTTTGACCCAGTGACCTCAAAATCAATAGGGATCATCTACTAACCATGACCAATCTAAATACCAAATATGAAGACTGTGGGTAAAAGGAATCTTAAGTTTTTGGGCGGACAAGCTTTTTAAAGTCAAGGCCTCTGTGACCTTGACCTTTGACCCAGTGACCTCAAAATCAATAGGGACCATCTACTAACCATGACCAATCTAAATACCAAATATGAAGACTGTGGGTCAAAGGAATCTTAAGTTATTGGGCGGATAAGCTTTTAGAAGTCAAGGCCCCTGTGACCTTGACCTTTGACCCAGTGACCTCAAAATCAATAGGGATCATCTACTTACCATGACCAATCTAAATACCAAATATGAAGACTGTGGGTCAAAGGAATCTTAAGTTTTTGGGCGGACAAGGAAAAACCGCCGGACGGCCGGACGGCCAGACGGGGCGACAGCCAGGCGGACAAGCTGATTCCAGTATACCCCCCTTACAACTTCGTTGTGCGGGGGTATAATAAGAAAATAGAGATACCAGCTTTCACATTAAAAACTTAACCACAGGGATGCCAACGTTGACAAATGGGTGACTGCATTAGCTCAATATTCTGTGAATAGTCAAGCTAAAAACAACAACAAAAAACAATAACAAGCAACAAATTATAAAATGAACCAAACAAATAAACTAAACAAATAAACCAAACAAAACAGCAAAATTAGAAAATCATTCGAGTTACATTCCATATCTCTGGGACAAATAGATATGCATTCTTTTGATATTGCCACCTATTTTCATAATTATACTTTCTTAAATTACTATCCTGAGATCAATCTTTTTAAGGCAAAGCATATATATCCTTATTTTAAACTTATTAAACTTTAATCTTAAATTTTAAACTATATAATCAATGGAATGATTTTGCTCCAAGGAAAAAAAGTCAAAATAACATCCATAACTTTCTACTGACTAATCTTTCATGGTACAGCCTTCAACACAAATTCCACAAAGTGACCTGTGTTATTGCTAAATAGAGGATATTCAAGTTTTTTCTATAAATACATGATTTATTTTCATCGAGTGGTATGAAAATAAATATTTCATGAGTGGCGGTAGCCACGAGTGAAATATGGTAATTTTCATGCCACAAGATGAAAATAAATCATGTATTTATAGAAAAAACTTGAATTTTCTGTTTATTATATACATTTTTCTCTTTTTTTGCGATAAAATTTGAAAGACTTTCCCTTATATTTTGCCAGTACGGCAGTATTAAAAAGAAAGTAGTCCGGCAAGACACCAGTGAAAATACGGAAAATATGTTTCACTCCAGTGAAAAATAAATTTTTACAGTGAAAATACGGAAAATGAAAATAAGCATTTTATTTCATCAATATTTCTCAATATTTCATTTATAAGTATATAATAAATTGTAATATCATTGTATAATTATATGAAGTTTATTTCAGGTAAATATTTTATTCAGAAACAATACTACATTTGTGAGAAATGCCATGCCACCACATACATGTACAAAAAATGTATATCACTAACTTCCTTTGGTATAAGTAGTAAACTGTAAAAAAGAACAAAACTTTTACTTGTTTAACATTTGAATGTTTATATCAACTAAACACAGACAAATGTCAAATATAAACATAAGTAGATATTTATCAGGCAAGTGAAACGAAACACAACTGTGTTTTTTTTTCAATTTTCAAAACAACCTGTGGCTTTCTGAAGGGGAAAATAAAGCGTGAAAAATCAGAAAAGGGGGGAATCAAATTGTTATAATGGAATTTACCCACACATTTTATAAATTTTCAATTTTAATTCAATTTAACATGCATTGTACATAGCAGAGGCTATCTATAGTCTTCTAGCTGCTGTTAAGTCATGGTTCTGGTGAAGAATGTGCACAGAGCATTTAAGGGGAAAATATTAGCATTTTTGGGTAAAACATACCTATATTAGGTTAGAGGAAACAGCCTTTATTCGGCTGTAAAATTCAGGAAGAAAAATCACTGGAAAATTACAATGTCATGTGATGTATCATCATATGTATATCTTATGTTTAAATATATTTTAAGATCATTGCATAAACTAATCAAGTAATATGAGGACTTGATAATTTAACCCTTGACCTTAATGGTCACTAATGAATATCATTTATTAATATCTGACTTAGTTAAACAGGAGGGCCATGATGGCCTTTGATCACTCGCCTGAGTAGATGGAACAAGACTGCAAGACATTGGTAAATATTACAGTGTGCACTGAGGTTGGTGTATTGAAAGAATAAATTTGTTTAATTGATACCCTTCTCAATGGACTCTACACAAAATATATTCACACAGAACAAAACTTTTAAATGGTGACTTGAATTTTCACAACTATTTATTTTTAGCTCTGGCGGCTATCTTGATCAGCAGACTAGAACCATTTTGGCTATTTCCGCCTCTCACAAGCCCCCCCTTCAAACCCCAAAAACAGAAAGGGGCACATCCCCCTTCTGGCAACCCCCTGATGTATCTTTTGGAAAGGGGAAGGCACTGAAAAAGTGGTTACTTTTTTGAACAACATTTCTCAAAGAAAAACAAGAGTTGGGGCCTAAATAAGGCATTTTTTCACTATTTGAGACCACAAAAAGGGGGGGGGGGGATGAAAAAGGCGTGTATATCTGGTAATGGGTTAAAGGATTTTCTATTTTTATCACTGTCAGCCATCTTGTTCAGAAGACTAGAACCATTTGATTTGCTGGAAAAAGGACAGTGGGATATCACAATAACTCTACC